ATTATCACTATGAAGCAACCGTGGTGGACCAAAAGCAACTGTGAACTTTATAATAGAATTCCCTCTTCTCTGAATGTGAGAGAAGATAAAGAGAAGACAGTTAAGCTAAAAATGAAATAGTGCTACAACTTCGAATTACTGACGCCTTATTAATGGATAAATGATTAAAATTCATTCATATTTTCCTTCAGAAAGTGAGGAGTTGTTATTGTCTTACAGTTATTTTGAAGTTCTGGGTAGCATTGATGAAGATCATAATATTCACACAAATTATATTTCAGCTTTGTTTTATGAAAAGAGAAGAGATACTTTTTAAATGAAAATTATATTCATAGTAGAATATTATGATTACCTTAATCAAACATTTTTTATACATACATTTAGATTACATATATCATATTGACTACAGTATTAATTGTTTATTCAAATACTGAATGAGAATATTTGACAAACAGAGACGATTAAAGACCTAATTTAAATGAAGTATAAGACTGAAAAAGCTTGCACAAGAATATACTTCATTGTTTTGAAAAGCTTTTTAATCGTCTGTGTTTGTCAAATATTCCCATTCAGTATTTGAAAGAACAATCAATACTGTAGTCAATATGATATATGTAATCTAAATGTATGTATAAAAAATGTTTGATTAAGATAATCATAATATTCTACTTTAAGGTCACCCCCCCTCTCAAAATCGGATCTCGGCTTCCATGCCACGAAATTGCATGACATTTTCAGGATATCTCGGTCATGGTATAGGAATGCTATACTAAAATTTTCGGACCAATTGCATGACTATTTTCCAAGATATTCAAAAATTACGGACAAAAAATAGCTTTTTTTCGAAACAAGAATTTTTGTAAAGGCTTCATCATAGACAATTATTATTTTTTTGTTCGATAGAGGACATCCACCTCTAGGGTGTTACAGAGTCCTTTTCTTTCTTGCGGGGGAGAGAGGGCTTAGAAGTTCAATACCTCCTCAAAACCCCTAGAAAACGCTAGCAGTTTTTCAGAGATCATTTTTTAATAAAAAAAAGAAAGCCTAATTTGAAAAAAGGGCTCTGTAACGCCCTAGAGCTGGATATGTTCTTTTAATCAAAAAAAAATTTTCTACAAGGAAGCGTTGTCGAGAATCCTTGTTTCGACTATTTGCAAAAGAATGCTAAAACACAATTATTGTCGATTAAAAAAAGAATGGGCTCTGCCATTTTTGGAATAACTTTTGGTAGAAAGTAGCTTGAGAGCTCTGATTTTCACCATTTGAAAGAGGAGACTCGGGGACATATTTCCATAAGCAAAACGTTTTCAGAAGAGTTTTCTGAAACAGATTTTCTAGGAGGTTGTTGAAAAACTAGCCAGTATGTAACAATTTCCAATCGGATTGCATTGATTCTTTTTTACGAACTGATAGCCCATGGTGTTCTCTTCAAGGTAGGAGTCGAGCAAGATCTTAATTTTCCGCGGTTCGAGTCTTGCATCGGATTTCCTACGAGTCCCAGGACTCACACCCGGTGACTATTGGTATGCTTGAAAATGGATGGACTATAGGTAATCGATCTTGCTGAGTCTCGTGGTAATATTTGTTTTAGAAAACGTTTTGAAAAGCTACCGAAAAGCGAGTTTTACGAAAAGTACGGTTTTCAGGCTGTTTTCACCTAATATTAAAAAATTCATAACTCAGTCAATTTTCAACTTCAAATTAACTGTCTTCTCTTTATCTTCTCTCACATTCAGAGAAGAGGGAATTCTATTATAAAGTTCACAGTTGCTTTTGGTCCACCACGGTTGCTTCATAGTGATAATGGAAAGAAGTTTATTGCAAGAGTTACAATTGAATTAAAACAATTGTTTCTTTCATGGTCACATACAGATGTTCTAGCTTCTCAGCTAATCACTCCTTCTCGAGATTGTGATTATTCTTTAATTCAAGCTCCTTCTAATACATCTAATATATCAGTGGGTGAGTATGGCTTATTATCTAGCAGGAGAAACTAAGAGCATGATTTTAGCACATATAATTAATTTTATGACTTTATCAGTTGTGATCTCTGATTTTCCCATTTTAATTCCAATTTTGTCTAAATTCTAATTTTGATTAACTTAGTCAACTTAGAATTTCAATTTTTGCCTAGGCAAATTTGAAATTTGCCTGAATTCTAAGTTTGCCTGCAACAGTGATGTAAATTTTTGCTTTATTTTTGAGTTTTTCAGGTGTTCCTTAGAAATATTTATCAAATGTACTCTTGCGATCGCAATAATTCGTCAAACTCACAAGACATGAATGAATCCATTCTGAATCATTTATTTCTTCCTTGTGATCTGCCATCGTCTGCAGACAAAGATTATTTAATTCAATACGCCCATCAAAATGAATATAAGATGCTTGAATGCATGAATACATTTCTGGTCTCGTTAGATGCAAATAATACATTACCAATTTTTTCAACCCTTCGGAACTGTATTCAACACTGGTCGGTTATACAGAATCCGAAAAACTGTTCTGTACCCATTTTACAATCGACCATTGAGAAACTTACGCCAGGTGATTTTCTTTCTCTCTATATTCATGCCCAAAACGCTGCAATTTTAATTGAAATCGATGAAAATCTTCCCAACCAACCATTGATTTCATCTTGGCAAGTGTTATTACCTACAGAAACCATAACATCGTCGCTAGAACCGCATCTTTCTTGCTTTCCTGTGCCGATATTTCGATTATCCAATCGATCTCAACTGTTATCTCGAGTCCATGGTGAATTATTGGTCGATTTTATGAGCAATACAATTGAATATTCCAAATCTTACAAAGCATCTTACCCATTCAATGAAACGCGTGAGGTGCCCATATCACATTATGTATGTCAATGGTGGATCACACAATTTCAAGGGATTCAAATTGACAATTCAGTCAATACATCCGTTGCATTTAAGAAAAAACATCGTGATCAAATCAGATATAAAAGTACGACGTTTCCTTTTCGACGTTCTGGTTTATGGATGACTATTAAAGTTGTTTTTCATACTATTCTAACAAAACGTTTAGGAACAATTGGTACTATCGTTTATAAATTACTTATTACAAACTTTCTGACTTATTTTATTTCTACGGTACAAACATCGATGGGTTCTCGATTATCTACTCATCTGCTAATCCATTGTCTTCGAAAAATTGCACGAAGATTAAATAAAATTGAAGGTTTATTATCATCTATTGATTCGAATGATATGAATCAATGGATACAAACTGTAACAGAAAAAATAAAAAAACAAATTGATCGCATTGCTCCCAATTCGAATTGGCAAAAATGCATCCGGAAAAATCAGAAAGGAAACTTATCAAAAATTCAATTAAATGTAAATCTTCCAGAAACCTACCAGCATCCGTGTACACTATTAAAAGCATATCTTGCTAAAAATTATTCCAATACATTAGTTAAACAATCCTCTTATAGCTATAATTATGATTCTCGGGCATCGAGTAGTGCCGATTGTAAAGACGATACATTACCTACCGTTTCATCCATAATCAATCATGATGATGATGTCATTGGAATAGCGTTAACACGTATCGAAATCTGGGTACAGTCCTGTTTAAACGAATGGCTCAATCACTCATTATTATCTAAAAAAGGATACAAATGTTTTGAAAATTTACAATCTTTTTATGAAGATTATCAACATACAGCTTTGAAATTTTATTATTCCGAAAATAAATCGACAGATCCGATTGGCTACAGTCGATTTATTCTAACGTCATTAACAATAATTCGTTTAATGCATGAAAAATTATGTGAAGATAATAGATTCGAACGATTGAAATTTCATGCTGTCCGAATTCCTCATCTTCTTGATTTATTCGAATTTTTAGTTTTACCCAATCGAGACGATATGATTCGAGCTCGAGATTTATATGATTATTTTCGAAAATTCAACGATAAATCATACCCCGATCTTTTAAGTAATATCGAGGCGAAAAATGCTTTTGGTATTTATTTTGCTGATCAATCATCAGAAATGAATGAAACTTTGAAAGAAATTCAAGATCAAGTTGAACAAGATAAAAGAGACAAAATCGAAGAAGTGAATAATGCAAAAGAAGAATATGAACAACTCATGAAAAAAGCCCATGAACTTATGTGTGAATGTACATTAAATCTTTATTTCCCAAAATGTAAGCGATGTACTATTATAAAAGACGCAGATAATCTTAAAGTCCATATTTATGAATGTCCAATACCACCCAATCGAGAAAGTGCTTTAGCTGTTATATTTGAATTACAGATGCCTGATGAATTTAGATGTTATAGAGATATTCTTTGGCAATTTGTTAGCCGTCCTAATCCAAACACATCGAATCATATGTGTGAATGGCTGAGTGCTAGTCCTCATAACACTAAGCTAAGACGGTTCAATAAGAGTTCGAATAACTGTAAAGTGAAATTGGTATCTTCGACTAAATCAATATCACAAAGTCATTATTCCGCTCCACGACAGGTCATGTCAACACCTTTGGGTGATTTTTTCTACGAAAACAGTCTGCAAGTTCAAATCTCTCCAACAAAAACAATGGAATTCAAAGACGAATGTCGGACGTTAACACCGGAGTTAACTGATCCAGATTACAAAGATTTACAATTTTCTATCGCGACTACGCAATGTGTACAAAATCGAGTAATTGCTGAACAATCAAAATGTTCCCTACGACTGAAATTAACACAATTCATTGAGTTCGGTTCATTTCGTTCTGGTCATCGTTTACAATGGTGGAATCTTTTAAGTATTCTTGAATTAGATTCCTTATCGATGGATGATGAAAGTGTTGCAATACTTATTACACATGCACTCTTGCAATATGGTCCAATGGCAACCGATCGAGAAGCATTCATTTGTGCTTGGTGTCCAGACGCACATCAACAGTTATTAGAAGATCATTTTGTTGATGAATTAATTACGAGATTAGATCGACATTTACAAGATTGTGAATGTAATTGGCAGAATGAAATGATGTTAGTAATTATAACAGTAATTGTTATGAGAGTATTTACCATTTGTAATTCAACAAGAAAAAGTCAACTGACAAATCTTGTATTAAAATGTCGTAACATAGGTGAAAAATGGATTCGACTTATTTCAGAAAGTATACAAAATTCGTCTTCATCTACTACTGATAAAATGGATGATTATCGTGATAAAATTGCTATTATTGGTGTTGCATGTATACTAACATTTTCAATATATACAGATTGTAGCAATTCTGTATTGTTATCGGATGAAAACGTCATTTTCTTATTGACAATGGTCACAACAGTTAATGATAATATTATTTTAAATAAGAGAAAAACAGAAATTAGTCTATTTATGAGAAATTTAATGCGTTTTAGTGAACGTGTATTGGTATCGATACATCCAATTCTATATAAACTTCTTCAGAAAAATTCCTATAAAAGTTTAAATGAATTTACTGCTATCTATTGGGCAGTTATTCGAAGTAAGGGTATGATGGATGGAAAATGGAAGAAAAGAAACAATGATATGTATAATGGTTGGTATGATGGTGAATATAATTCCAATAAGGTATCGATTGATTGTCTTAGAGGAAAATTTTTGGTCAATAAAATGAGCGTTGGCTATTTACCAACTAGAATAACTTCAGATGAATTATTTCTTCGTGTATTTGGTCAACATATTTTTGAAGTTCAAACCGCCGAATTTGAAGATAGTTATATTACAAAACATGGATATCATGTTGGTGGAAAAGTTCACTATGAATTTAATTATAGCTATTATCGAGACCCTCATTTGACAATCTATGAACGGCATACTGAAACAAACGATAAGTTTGAATTAATTCCTCCAAGGTGTTTTAAAACAGAACTACCCGACATTTTGACTTCTAACTACAGTCATTGGTGGAATGAAATCGAAAAAACTGTAGAATTTCGACCGATTTATTTTCAAGATTCTAATTTTTTAAGTGATAAACATTACATATTAGCACTTAAAACAGGATATATTATGACGTATAATAATGAAAACAGACAATATTTGATTAATCGATCATCAGAATTCTTTCAGAAATTGTTTAAACATTATTTCATTCGTCTGGACAATGAGCCCTACGTATATATGCTTAGAGTGGATGATATTATTCATATTCATCTATCTCGATTAGGCATTGCTTTTAAATACAACACTCATGATAATTTAATGACTTCTCGTGAATATTCAGATATGTATATCGATGAAGATCAATGGTTTGGGACATTGACGGGTTTGAAATCAGGTGTTCTTCTTTCACCAATGGCTGTAATCAATCAAAGAAATATACATCTGTCGAAAACTAATATACTCTGTCGTAAACTAATTGTTCCTTTTGGGCAAATTCAAGCAATTAGACAATCCGACAATGATCATCAAGTCGTGACTATAGAACGGGAAACAATATCGACATCCTATCTTTATCACTACTTTGTTTTTATTTTGAATGATCGTTTACGTATTCTTCAACCGACTGATAGTCCAGCAGGATGGCTCTATTTAGCATTATTACATGCAATGACGTCTCATTCTCTGCCAGATGAATATACAGGAATGACTGGAATGGAACGTTGTTTCCAGCTGTTGAATTCAGCTGGTTGCTGGTCTGATCAACCTTTTGATTCAGTTTCTCGAAATATTCTTCTTCAAATTGCGACTATTTCACCAAAAGTAAATTATTATCCAGAACATCTTACCTGTGCAGAAAACATTGAATGGAACTCTAATAGTTTACCTTATTCATTACAACATTTCGGTTATCATTTGATAGCAAAAAAATTAATAGAAACAAGTGAAGAATGGAATTTCATGCATCCATCGTCTACGTCCAATAACGAAATACAAAAACTGTTTGCAAGCAAAAAGTACAATGAAAACTTATTGACAAAACTCTATTGGGACTATCGGGATTCGTACAATTCTACAGCTAGATTATCTACACAGATGGAAGCAGAAATCCGTTGCACAAACTCAACAAAATCATACCAACCAGTTTGGGAAAGTTGTTCACATTCAACAAACTACAGTTCGCTTCATCTTGTAGACCACTTATATAATAGTGGAGATGTGAAACTTAAAGATAGCTCCGAACTCACATGTTTTCCTCTGTCTCGATGGCTTACGAATGAATATGAGTTGAAAAATATCTGGATTGGTTTATTCAAAGTCGCTGAGCGATTGAAGACAATCGAAGTTGATAATCAAAAAGATGAAATAGAACGATTTGAAATGTTACTAGATTTTCTGCATTATATATCCGATAAATGTAATAGTCAACCGTTTTATTTGCAAATGCTGAAATCTATATTAAAAACATCACCTGTATTACTGAGATCCGTCTCGTATCCTTCATTCAGTCAATATGAAAATATTCAGGAAATTTCATTTGTATCCCATCGTATCAAATTTTCAGGAAATCTCGGTTCTTATAAGCGAGCTGTAGCTTTACGAGAAATCGAAGATTGCTTTGTTAAAAATTGTCCCTATAAAAATGACAATCTCCCGCTGGTCAACCAGATAAACAACCATACTTATAAAATAAATTCGTTACTAAAATCTTGGCGATCGAATGGTGAACTTCGTTCTTTTGTACAAAATATTCAGAATCATCTTCGTTCTGTCATAATGATTCCATTAAATACCAAAGTGTCTGTTCGTTCCCAACAATTTATCGTCGAATTATTTCAAAACCATTATCAAATTCGTCTTAATTCGACAGATAAACTCATCAATCAAAAGTTGTTGGAGAATGCACAACAAAAATTTCTGCATCCTCATTCGAATTATTTTATCAAACCAACAATATGCGTTCAAATTACAAATGAGCAGAAACCATTTCCAGAGCAAATTTTTCCATCTACTGATTCTCAAGTCAATCCTCTCAGTGATATTGCCAATCATTTCAAGGAACACTTAACTGAAAGTTGGAAGATGCTTAATTTGACCGAAGAATATCATAAAGAGTATCCGTCTGTAGAGGAGATCAACAAGTTTCTCGATTGTTTTCGCCAAGAATCTAAACAATTTTGGGATGAATTAGTAAAGTCCATTACAATGACAAATGAATTGTTATTCAATGTAGGTTTAATATTACGAATCTTACCAACAATTTTGATATCTGTCTTACAACAAATATGGTTAAGCGATACTGAATCGAATAGCTCACCATTAATAAACGCAATGAATGATGTGAATTTGCCATTATTGTTTTTGACATCTGAACAACGTATATTACTCGGTGGAATCATGGTCAATTGGATTGTAGAACAGCAACTCGAAAGAGCTTTACATTTTGTCAATCAAAACAAATGGGAAGATTTTGAAAAAGAAATATCAAATATACCTCATGCCAATTGGACACCATCAATGCATGTTCCATGGCTAATACTAGAACTGGAAATGAATATTACCATTCGAGAAATACAAATTGAAGTAACACGTCATATGATAAAACCAATAATTAACGAAAACAATTCTTCAATACCCAATATCGTCATGCAAATGAATATGGGTGAAGGCAAAACTTCGATAATTTTACCAATGTTAGCTCTTAGTTTATGTTCATCATCTTCGAGTTTAGTTCGTATCATTGTGCTAAAATCATTATTTCCAATGAATTATCAATCACTACGATACAAATTAGGTGGTTTGCTAAATCGACGTGTACTGCCATTTGCTTGTCGTCGTGATATGAATTTTAGTGATATACAAGTGGAGAAAATTTTTAATCGTCTCCAACAAGGATTAAAGAACTGCGACGTTGTATTAATTTCACCTGAGGATATTTTATCATTTGATTTGCTCACAATAGACAAATGTCGACAAAAGCAATTCGATGCTGGTCGTTCAATGTTATCTATTCAACGTTGGATGAAAACATTTGCTCGAGATATTTTGGATGAATCCGATGAGATTTTACATGTTAAATATCAATTAATTTATTCCATTGGTCGTCCACAACAAGTTGATGGAGGTTTAGAACGTTGGGAAACCATTCAATTGGTAATGAACTTAGTCATGCAAAACGCAGCATACATTGCACAACAATATACCGATGATATTTTCTACAAAGCATCAGAACATCAAAGTAGTTTTCCGGAGTTTCGTTTGCTTAATCGTCGACCATTTCCGGAATTATGTCTTAGAATAGCAATTGAGTGGCTTAATCAAAAACATTATCATCAAATAGATCACGAGTCGATCTTATCATTCATTTTGGATACGAACTCAACGATCGATCCTCTCATCGATCGATTTCCTCACAGTACAATTCAGTTATTTCTTATTATGCGTGGTCTTTTATCATCTGAAGGATTATTCGTTGCTTTAAAAAAGCGCTATCGTGTCAATTTCGGTGTGAATCCAAATCCAAAATTCGATCGTTTAATGGCCGTACCATTTCGTGCCAAAGATGTTGCAGCTGAGAATACAGAATTCGGACATCCAGATGTAGCCATTGTCTTAACACAAATTTCATATTATTATAATGGTTTGAATGATTCACAAATGCTTCAATGTTTTGATCGCTTAAGTCAAAACGAAAGCGATCCTGAAATAACTTATGAAGAATGGATATCACTTGAAGAGGAAAACGATACGATTTCAAATATAAAAGAATGGAAAAGAGTCAATCTGAAAGATTATCAACAGCGAACTCAACAACTCTTTCCGACTCTACGATATAATATGTTAGTTATAAATTATTTTCTCAATCATTTTGTTTTTCCTCAAGAAGCAAGACAATATCCGAATAAACTAGTTTCTTCTGCTTGGGATTTGTCTTCATCTTCACGATCGAAAATAATCACTGGATTCAGTGGTACAAATGACACCCAACTACTATTGCCTGTTCATATTCGTCAGTGCGATTTGCCAGGACTTCAGAAAACTGATGCTATTGTTCTCAATAATTTACTTCAAACGAAAAACGATCATTATCAATATTTATCTATTAGTACGAGTTCTGATGAAATCTTGAATCGAATTGTTAAAGACAAACCAATTATACAGGTCATTCTGGATGTCGGTGCATTGTTTGTCGATGGAACAAATCGTCAGATAGCTACTAATTGGTTGAATCTGTCGGATAAAACTAAAATCGATTATGCTGTTTATTTTGAATTAGATTCGATTTTTGTTTGTGATCGTCAATATGAACATCATGCTTTTCTGACATCACCTGCTAATGAACGACTTGACCGTTGTGTGTTTTATATGGACGAAATTCATACGAGGGGAACTGACTTTAAATTTCCAAATAATTTTAGAGCTGCTGTTACCTTAGGAAATGGTCTCAGCAAGGATCGCTTAGTCCAAGCATGTATGAGAATGCGAAAATTAGGCAAACATCATTGGTTAAGTTTCTGGAGTTCACATGAAGTTCATCAACAAATTCAAACAATAAAGAAAAATGCATTTCTATTAAATGAAAAAGAAAATGTCGATAATCGAATTTCTCTAAATGATATTCTTCGTTGGGTATATGAAAATACTCAACAGACGACGTGGGATGGATTACACCACTGGGCAACGCAAAGTTTAAGTTTTCAACGGAAAGTTACTGCTTTTCGAACAATTCACTGGACTAATCATCGAGAATCGTTTACAAGTACCATGATGGAAAACTTAGCCGAAGAATGTTTGGAAGCTGAAATAACCGAATTAAAAGCAATGTATGGCGGATCTAAAACATTCCAGACAATATTGGAGATTTATTTGGCTCGTTATAAACATTCTAGTATTTGTTCATCGGCTGAAATTCATGAAGCTGTTTCTAAACGATTATGCGATTATGGTGGTTCGAAGAAGCTTCTGGCACAATTATTAGACGAAGAGCAACAACGAGAACTAGAAAAAGAACAAGAAATGGAAGAAGAACGACAACAGAAACGGCCAACATCTGTTGTTCCAAGTGAACCCATATTGCATGATGAAATCAGAAGCTTATGTGATGTGCAAGATCCTATACTGAATTTGTCACAACTAAGTTCAGTATTTTGCCCCATCGCCAATGCTTTTCTTGGCGCTACATTCTATAACGAATCTCAACCAGGTTGTTGGCAAAAAAATCTTTGGGTTACTGATGAATTTAAACGTGTGATTCAAACACGAGGAGAATCATTAGATTCTTTCCTACGTCCTGCACGATGGGTTGTGATCTATCGTAATCAACATGCCATATTTGTTAGTGCCTATGAGGCTGATTGGTTGATGGGTCGATTACATGCGCTTTATCATCAGAAGCAATCTAATAAACCATGGATCACTACCTTACGCTTACTACTACCAAGGACGAAACGCGATCAATCGATTCTAGTTAACACAGCAGCTTTAACAATCCCTCCATCAATCATGTCCAAGAACGATACTGCTCTTTTTACCATTCCGGTTGAATGGTTGGTAGAATTATATATTTTTAATGGCACTCTCTACTTTGAAACTGTAGATGAACAAACAGCGTATTGTCAATGTCTGGGTGTGTGTCCAAAACCTCGAACGACGATCGAAAAAGATGCTTTCGAGAAAGATTACATTGCTATTGATGGATTTGTAAAAAATTTAGAATATCGTGGCCAATTACAACTCGATCGATGTCGTTTTAATTCCAACCCTTTGACATTCATTAGAAAATTAGTTGAAAATCGAAATCATGTACAAGCACCGCTGAAATCACATGTCGGCAGTATTATTTTGAACGCTTGCAAGCTCCCATTATGATTATTCTGACTCTCAATCCTATGCTCATCAAAGTCTAGAAAAATCCACTTGATATTTTTATTAAACGTTTGTACGATTCAATATAACATTCTTAATAAGTTACTGTGTCTTCTCTATACGTGCTGCCTTGATACTATCAAACATCTACGTAACAAATAGAAAAACATACCGCAACAGTGTGGAATGAAAATGGGATTGTCTTATGAAATAATCGATCAACATAGGCATATTCTCCACTATCTTTTTCAATTGAAACCAATTTAAATAATGCATCTTCACTTTCATTGTTCGTTTCATTTTGACTTTCTTGTTGCCAATATTGTGGATATTTTTTATTAAAAACGACGTCTAAACAACGTAAAAACCTGAATTGTTCTGATGAAGAGAATGATTAATGAATACTTACTATCATTATACGGATAAATGATGGACAATGAATGTTGAACAGTGACTGCGAGATCACCGTATAGACCAGTGAAATGCTTTTGTATTGCTGGTTTTGAAATAAGTGCGAGAGGTTGATGATGTCGTTTCCATTTAAGGTTCATTTCGTAATCAATATAACATAATTCTTACAAAGACAAAGACATGTTCTGAAACTGCGGGCAAAGCCTGTATCGATTGCTAAAAGAACTTTTATCTGAAAGTCTTTCCTAACGAAAGCAGTTGCCGTTCTTTCTTAACTAAGCGTTTTTTTCGAAGATGTCTTTAGCGTAATGAGTGCGCGCACTTTAGTGCAAGTCCAAATTAAACGAAACTTTCAGGGAATATTCTTCGTCATCCAATGCATCTATACAGTTAGCATGAAACAGCATAAATGTTCCTAGCCGAAGTTATAGCTTTTCCGAAAACCCTTGATTTTTAAGATATTTTAGGGTTTTCTCCTGCTTAGAGACGTTGAAAATACAAACTAATAATATATTCGAAATCAGTGCAAAAAGCTGCGTTGAATGATGTATAACTCATCTGGCTTTGGTGGTTAAATTTTGAATTCTACAATTTTCTTAGATTTGGGGATTCACACAAACAATTTTCTGCTAAAAATTTAAAGTTCAGGATAAAACAAAGGAAACGCTTCTAAGCGTGTTTTCTATAGGTTTCCGACTATGGTCTTTCCAACGGAATGATTTCAAGTAACAGTTTTCTAGAGGGTTTTCTAGAAACCTAGTATGTGCCTCTTGATTTAATTACGTCACATTTCGAAGCCAGAAATGTTGCATTTCGTACTGAAGCTTTCTAGTTTTAATGAACGAATTTATGTAACGAGTCGAGAAGTAGCAAAAATAGGTAAGATTTGTTTTGTTCTTCCCATATGCTATATAAGAAAAATATAGTTGCATTAACGTTATTTTTCCAACATACGGAAAATGCATAATGCGGGTATTGTTTGGTTAGCCATTCATATAACTGAGAACTGATGAAAATCAAGCAAAACATGGGCTTTTAATTTATAAAAGTTTAGGAAATAGAAATGATGTTGGTTAACGAGGCTGATATTATGATGATCAGTTTGATCATGTTGAACGTAGTACATTTAATAAATATTTTAAAGACCAAAGTTCTGATAGAAAACATCACAAATAGCAATAAAATGATTACGGTTTAATACCTAAAATATCCAATTGAGATCTGAAATAGTGCTCATAACGTTCTGTTTTGGGCTTGAAATTTGTATAAGTGTTATGTATGTGTGTATGTAATGCACAAATATACATATTATGGGTTTTGTTTTGTCTCAATGAAACGTATAAAAACAGGTTATTGTTTAGAAGTTTCATATTCAATATGAAACTTCTAACTTTTCCGCCAAATCAAACTTTGATTTGGCGACGATAAAAAATATAAACATCAACCAAAAGGCTTTCAGATTGATCCTGTCTGTAGCTTACGCTCGCTTTAAAGCTTAAGCCATACATCTAAGTACAAACGGAATAAAAGTGAAACTGCGTACGGCTCATTACATCAGCTATAACTTTCTTTGATCATAAAAATTAAATAGAATAACTGAGGAAAAGCCTGAGGTAATACATGCGAATTATTCCGGGCTACATTCAGTTCAGTCTTGTTTCATAAAACACATCTAATTTATTTTTATAATGCATCATAAACAAGAAAATAAATTGCTGACAAATTCAATAAAATAGTTTAGCTTACCGAGTTCGATGACACTTTTGCATTTTCATTAATTATTTTATAGTAATTCGCCTTTGCTCATTGACTGATCTACTGACATATTTGTATACATTATCCTTCTTCGATGATCTTATCACACCTTCTAGACATTCCGAAGCTTCGAAGCTTTTCAAGAGAGAGAACGACAATTAGAATATTAAAATATTAATGAATGATTCATTTTATCAGTAATATTTACTGTTCCTCGGTTACACGAAAAATAGGTTGTGATCAGCAGTAAATTTAAAACTTTTCAATCTTCTCAACTTTAATCTTCAACTTAACATCTCTCTGAAACATCCTTCTCGATTTTTAATCTTAAAATTCAAATCTCTTACCCTTTTTCTCATACATTCAGGGAAGGAGTCTCTCATCGAATAGATTTCAACTATCTCCTCTTCTTTTTCTTCTGTTATATATAGGCAAGAAGCACCTTTAACATTATATTTTAGTAAAATTAATATTTTTATAGTTTAGTATTTTTGTCTGCGATGCTTGTGTCTGTGTGCTAATTTTTTGTTTCTTCTCCACCTCAACATCTCGATCTCAAATTATTATTATATAATATTACATTATACTGTTCTTGGAACAACAAGAAGAACATTATCAGCTTATATTACTATCCTTTTCAATGAAAGGTGGACTCCGATATTTTGTTAATGACTTTTGAACGATAAGAGCTAGAGTCCTCCGGTTTTTAGTTTCTTAAATTAGACACCAAGGCACATAGATCTATGAAGTGACGAAGCTTCCAGAACACGTTTATCGTGGTGTACCTTTCGAAGGAAAAAGTTTGAGCTCGCCGTTCGTAGACTTTGCATAGTAAGTCAGGCTTAAAATTTGTCTGTTATATAGAAGAGACTTCCGTCTTTACAATGACACGAGTGCTAGAGCTCCATCTATCATAATTCGTACACTACAGGCAATCTCCGAGGACCTACCTATCCATCAAACCTGGGCTCTGAGAGCCTTAAAAACACATGACACATAGGCTATCGGACACGCTGATTACCGTGGCAATGTTTGTTTTGTTGTCCGGATTAAAGAAACTGCAAAAGATCAGTTTTTCAGAAAATGCGATTTTTCTACTTTTACCGTACTAAATTAAAAACCTTATCGCGCCTTCAGTTCTCAAATTGCTTCAGATTTTCAAAATAAACTAGTTTGAAGTGTTTTATCACGTCACACAGACAAATGTGCAGAAAACTCAATGGTACATTGAAAGGTTTTCCAAAAGACCTCTGGAGATCTTCAGGAGAAATTTCAGTATGAAAACAACTTTTAACCCTCCTAAACTGTACAGCAGAGAAAACTAAGTTTATTTTGAAAATTTGAAGCAATTTGATTGAGAACTGAAGGCCCAGGTTTGATGGATAGGTAGGTCCTCGGAGATTGCCTGTAGTGTACGAATTATGATAAATGGAGCTCTAGCACTCGTGTCATTGTAAAGACGGAAGTCTCTTCTATATAACAGACAAATTTTAAGCCTGACTTACTATGCAAAGTCTACGAACGGCGAGCTC